GAAGTTCAGCCAGCAAGATTTTTTTTCGCACAACAAACCCGTCCGTACTTGTATTTTCATTCTGATAGTCGTTGAAAAATTCTAGATACACTTGGGTGCAGCTCTTCTTGTACCAAAAAATAATTTCATCAAACGAATGCCTCATCAAAACTTTGCACTCCGGATTTTATACCAGCCCACCAAGTGGCTGCTGCATCCTGAAGGAGTAAAGGAAGTTCTTGTAGTGCTTTTGATCCGAAATTTTGCCATGGACTTGAACAATAATATGTGTGATATAAATGCTTTGAGTGTCTCCGGGCTCTTGAACCATCAAATCTTTTCGAACACGTAGAAAAACTTTTAGGGGTTGGTTCAGTGTTTGCTTGAGCCATTACTGACCCAATCAATTTCCCCAACATATCTTCTGTCATTGTAATTGGCATGGTGGTGATTGACTTATGTGCTTAAGAGACGACTAAATACTTATGAGAGGTATTTCCAAGTTTACTCGGTTTATATACACCTTTAGGTCGTTTTTCGGTAATCCTCGAGCCATTTCGGCCAGGGTGCAAAAAAAAATTTAGACAAAAATATCCTGTTATCTAAATCCCTTACATCTGGTAATTGTGACGTCAGAGATCTATTATCCTTGTCTATCCTTCACAATCGGTCGTTGCTTTGTATTGTTGTCTCCCTCGCTCGTACCAGGTACAGAAATGAACCCAAAAATAAGGTTTGTGTACCCAATATTAGATTAAAAATATTTTATTTATGTTATTTATTTATTTATTAAAATAGCAATCAAGATACAATTTAATCTTACAAGCTATTGTAACACATACCAGAGTAATCAAAAATAATATTATTATTATTTAAATTGTTAATAATAATAATAGAAAAAGAAAAAAAAAAAGAAATAATTATCTAGAGTTTACTCCAATGAGTGAAGCCTAAGTGTTTCATTTAAGGAGATTGAAAATCTAAATCAAAATTATTTACTTGCAAAAATGAAATTAGCCATCAATTTTGTTGTATAGGAAATTTGTTTTCTAATAGAAAAACCTGATGATGGAACTTATATAGATCCGAAACGTAATTGTTGAAAGTTTATAAAAATGTTTTTTTTTATTAATTAAATAATCTAGGAATTATATAATAAATATATAATATATATTGTTATTTGATTTTTTTAACTTCCCGTAGGGTAAGTTATTGTTTTCGCCCAAAAATCGAAATTGAAAATTTTCACATTTCTCGACGTTTTGAAGGTTTCTGAACATTTTGGCATACCTCAAAAAAAATTGATGTGTATGTATGTATGGATACAATTTTTCAAAAAACATTCGATTCCTATTGATAAGGACATGTGCTGATCACTTTTTGACAAAGGCAGGTCCAGCCGTTTTGGAGATAGAAAACAAAAAGTGTGGAACATAGAAATCGAGATTTTGATAGAACGGAGTATCCGATTTGAATGATCTAAAAAACATTCATTTTGTAATGATTGGGAGAAGAGGTAATTAGTTTTTAGCAAAAGCAGGTCCAGCCATTTCGAAGATAAAGAGATAAATGTGCAAAAAATGGCAGTTTTTGAAAGAACTAAGCATCCGATTTGAATGATTCAAAAAACTTTCTGCTTGTGTTGACGAAACGATTGCTTTGTAATAATTTTTTTGTTTTAATTTCTAAAAAATACTTTTTTGAATATCGAAAATTATTCGGATTTTAATTTTGGCTAAAATTCTAAAGCTCACTTATATACTTAAAATAAATAATTTTAACTTTGCAATTCAGTTTATATAATTCTTATAAATATTAGACAATGTACTTCATTTTAAATTTTATTGATTGAGTTTTGTTTAATTATTTTTCTGTAAACATATATATATATAAGTCACAGTATTTATAATAATCTATATAAAAACATTTAATTTTCCTCAAATATTTCATTACGGTACGGGAAGTCCAGCAATTTGCCTTAAGGCACGATGCCATGAACCACTAGTTTACTTTTAAATCACTCGACATTTATTTCATTGGATATTATTATTGTAATTCAAGTTAACGTCATTTATTTTTTTGTATTAAATTTATTTATTTATACGAACCACGTGACTTCTACAGTCAAAACTGTCAAAAAACCATTAATTTTTGCCGAGTAAGTTTTCCCAAGATTTTGCGCGTGCACGTTAACCTAAAACAAAGGGTCGATCCAGGTTGCGTGCACTTTTAGGCAAAAACTAGCCCCCCTGACTGAATTTATTAAGAAAACAATATACAACATGAAGTCAAATAATAAAATATGACTTACAATACTATTATAAATGTTTTTTAATTAAATTGAGTACAATTCTATGTTTATATTACGTATATTGCAAATTGCAAACTTGGACCTATTGTAGCGAGTTCAAACCTAATTTATTTGAATTTTTTGTATAGGAGTATTTGTGATAAATCATAGGGATATAAAGTAAATTTTATCTTGTTTCTGCTAAGCTAACTAAAAAAGAGAGCCCGGTACAAAGTTTTTGAGTTATTCAAAGAAATGTAGAAAAATGTCCCCCAGAATAATCTATTGCATTTATCAAAAAATTGATTTCAAAGTTATTTTATTCGAAACTTTTATTTTATTTTTAACTTTTCGGAGTGTATATAACTGTTTACACGAATTTGTAGTAAATTTTATCTAGTTTCTGCTAAGCTAATAAAAATAGAGTGCCCGGTACAAAGTTTTCGAGTTATTCAAAGAAATGTAGAAAAATGTCCCGAATTATCTATTGCAATTATCAAAAAATCGATGAATAATAATATAAAATAAATTCATATCACTTGAAATTAATTTGACATTATTGTTGTCATTCAAGTTAACTAATTTTTATTAAATTTATTTATTTATACGAACCACGTGGCTTCTACTGTCAAAACTGTCAAAAAACCGTTACTTTCAAAAATTCAAAAAATTTAACTGATTGAAAACTCTAATTAATGCAATATAAACAATGAAACAGCTTTTTGTTATTATTGATAAGAACCATATTAATAAATTTATTATAAAAATAATATTATTTTTATGCCCAAAAATATGAATTTCTTGCATTACTAATTGTTTAAATAAATACATTATTCCAGACTTTTACAAATTTCCTCTGTTAATGATAATTATTATGAATTATGAATAAAAATAATGGTAATGATTATAATAATAATAAATTGATTGAGATAATATTTGTTTATGTGAATAAAAGTATTTTTTTTTGCTCAATTTTTCTTATTTATAACAATAATAATATAATATTAATTAATAATATATTACGTATAAAAATTGAATAATAATAACAAATTTATTGAGAAAAAAATTATATGAATAAATGCAAAAAAATATAAATAAATTATGAATTTCCTTTGTTAACAATACACGAAATATGTCTACTTATTAAAAAAATGATTTAGAAATTTGTTTCGTGTGTCAAAAATTCATTTGTTTGGCATTGGATATGGAATATTTAGCAAGTTGATCCTAGATTTAAGAACTAGATTTTACAAATTAATTTACCTGAGACTTTAACATAAACAATAATGTTTATTAAATTATTAGTGTAAAAATGTACTTCGGATATTATAATTGCCAAAAAGCAACTCATGTATCGTACGAGATTATAAAAATTATAGACTAAATTATTGAAACAATTATGTTGTGTGGTAAAATCAAGTATGATATTTTTCTTTTGCCACATTTTTTTTTTATTGTTTTATACTGCTTATGATGAGACCAAAAATGAATCTCAAAGTCAGGACATCAAATAGGATATTAAAAAGTAAAGGATAGGATATTAAGAAATTTGGAAATTTTTGAATTGTATACGTGGGTACAGGGCAACGTGTGTCGGGTCATCTAGTATAAAGACTTTTTGTTGAACTATGTAATTGACATTTTTAAAATCAGTCGACTTTGAGAAGCCCTCCTGTAAAAAAATGTACTGAAGTGTGTTGGCAAATTTCATCAAAAGTTGGCGCATTTTCACGATTGTAAAATAATAAAATACTTGGTATAAATATAATAAAAAATTTAGTATAAAAAAAAAACTTAAAAAATGAAATGTTTTTTGCTCTCTAGCAATGAGCAAGAGAGCAAACTTCTAAAAAAACAGCTCGATGAAAAATAGGTTCATAAACACACACACACACACAATTTTTCTAATTTTGGTCACGTCGAGAAAACTTAAAATTAGCAAATTGGATTTTCTGGTGAAAACATAAACTTCACTTTCGAAAAGTCAAATAATGTATAAAATTACTAACTATTAATTAGTAATTACTAACTATTATTAATTAGTGTATATATATATGTATATATATATATACATGTATATGTATATGTATATATATATAATATATATATATATATATATATATATAATCTGATGTTAATCTGGCATCAATGCATCGATGTGTCAACAACGCATTACCGTTGTTTTTACCCTAAAAGACATCTTAGGGGTCGAATGAAACAACAATACTATGCTACTACCTGCTACGACAGGGATGAAAACATGTTACGTCATCAGGAGATTATAAAAAAATATGATGATTCAACTAAATATAAATATAAATATAAATATAAATCAACAACTTGGAAGGATAGAGAGGAATGAAAGATACGTGACGTCATCAGGAGATGATAGAGAAAGATGCGATGATTCAGACTATGAAGAATAGAAAGGGATGGAAGATACGTGACGTCATGAGATGATAAAGAAAGTTGTGTAGAAAGGATAAACAAGGATAAATGACATGTGACGTCATCTTGAGATGCACATGTTATAAATCACTTAAGTGACCCGACTTGATTCTTCAAAAAAAAACATCCCCACTAGCATCAGAAATTGTATACAAATCTCGCAAAATAGGAAATTATGCCTTAAGTATTTACTAGATCAGTTTGTTATTCACACGTCTTACTGAACGCAATAACATAAATTCTTATATTATTGTTGCCATAATTTGATTCTGAGTCCATTACCATGGCAGAAGAGTTGTTTCAAGGTTTGATGGAGACTAAACCAACAATTGGCAGTTTTTCCAAATGTACAGCAAGATTCGACGGTTCAAGAGATCTTCAAAAAGTCGAAGAATTCACAAAAGCCATATCCTTGTACAAGTACATGGCAAGCATTTCAGACCAAACAGCCCTACAAGAATTACCTTTACTCCTTCAGGATTCCGCAGCCACTTGGTGGGATGGTATAAAAACTAAAGTGTGCAGTTTCGACGAAGCTCTCAGTTTGATAAAAGTTTATTACACCCAAAGAAGACCAGCTTATAGTGTGTATTTAGAATTTTTTAAGAACCATCAGGATGAGAACACGAGCACACGCCAGTTTGTTAGTAGGAAAAGAACTTTGTTGGCTGAACTTGCCTATGAGTTTCCTGAGAGCACACAAATTGACATGGTGTACGGTTTGCTTAAAAATAAATTCCGCATGAAAATTCCACGTGAAAGTATAACCACGTTTGAAGATTTACTACACAAAGCTTCAGACTTGGAAACACCACAAACTTCTTCTGAAAACAATTTGAAACTAAAATGCACTTATTGCAAAAAAACGAATCATGTAGCTGCAGATTGCCTTAGGCGTTTAAAATGGACAGTAAAGAAAAGTTTGAAAAACAACCATCAAGGATTCAAGAAAACAGAAGTTACTTCGACTACCATTCCCAAAATTTCGACAAAAAAGAAGTCTGATATTTTTTGCACTTTTTTGCAAAAGGACAAGTCACAATATTGAGGAATGCCGAAGGGTTTTGATCAGGAAAGCCCGAAATGAACAGCAGAATTTAACACCAACTGAAGGACCAATTGTATTTAAACATAGTATTCCGGAGAAAATATCATATTTTTAAATTTGTATAAAAATATACTATATAAATTCTATATTATTATAAATAATAAAAAAAATTACGTTCATACAAATGTATTGTTTTAGTTCATTCTCAGTTTTTTTTTTTGCAATTTCAGTGTCAAGCGATTCAGAACGACTTGAAACGTCGGGAATATTATAAATAATACTAGTATATCATATTTTCTGGCAAAAATATAAACTCCTATTTAAATAGTCTTTACAATTACTAAATTTTATGTTAATATTTTTTTTAAAACGATTTTTTAGTTGTGAACATTATTAACTGAATATTAATTATAATTTATGAGTATATTATTTAAAATTATTAAATAGTTTATTATTAATTTTTTAGATGCTTTTACAGTTTAGTGTAATGTTAATTAAATATGAATATAAATAATTAAGAACTGCATATACAATTTTACGGAAAAATAATGCAAATAATATTGATAATACCTATATTAATAACAATAATAATAATAAAATAAGTGATAATAATTATAATAGTCATATTAATATTATTAATAATAAATTGATTATAATAGTAAATTTTACAACCAAGTTAAAATTAAAAAAAAAATTAAATGATTATATTTAGATTTTCTTTTGTTTTAGTAATTAATATAGACTAGAGTTTTGTTTTAGCAATGTTGATATGGATAATAATATAGATTGAAGAAATTAATATTTTACCAATATTATTTTTTTTTAAACAAAATATTTTTTTCCTACGTCCTTGAAATTTTATTAACAACAAATGATATTATTAATTATTATTATTATTTTTTATAAGTAAAATATTTTAAACGGAATGCATTTTTATATGCCCTTGGATTTTTATGACCAATACAATATTAATAATTTTAATAAATAATATTCATATTTTTTTATAAATATTTTTTCACAATTATTAAATTATTTTAAACAAAATACAATTTTAAAATAATTTTAACAATTAACTAAAAATTTATAATTTCTATTAATTTTAATAAATAACTAAAAAATTATAATATTTTTTTTAATTATTAATTTATTTTAAACAAAATACAATTTTAAAATAATTTTAACAAGGAACTAAAAATTTATAATTTCTATTTATTTTAATAAATAACTAAAAAATTATAATATTTTTTTTAATTATTAAACGACGTTTTTACGTTCTTGGTATTTATTAACAATGTAATAATAATAATATTAATAACTTTAATAAACAATATTAAAAAAATATATAAATATTTTTTCACAATTGTTAAATTATTCTGAACAAAATACAGTTTAAAGTTTTTTTTTAATTTATTAACAATATTGCTATTAAAATCGTAATAAATTATTTAAATTTAAATTTGAAATATTTAACTATTTAAATAAATAACCTTTCGCTATTTTTGTTTTTTTTCTAATAATAATAATAAAAATAAAAGTAATAGAAATAATGGTAAAAATAAATCAATCAAAATAGCATTTTATATATTTCAGTTTATAAATAAAATAACATAATTTATAAATTAATTAACAACTCAAACAAATAATTTGTATAAATGCAATTTATTTTTATAAATAACAACAATTATAATAAAATAAAAAGAATAATAATTAAATACAATTTTGAAAATTAAAATGATTATAAAAACTATTTAAATAAATAAATTTTCTAAACACTCTTTGAATTTTATGAAAAATGATTTAAAGGAATCGTAAATATTGTAAGTAACGGATTTATTAAAACAATTTTTCTTGTTTTTTCAATTTGTTTTATTATTTTTATATAAGGAACATCATTGTGTGCATTATATATATATGTATATATATGTTATACATATAAAAACATATAAATCTTCTACATTAGGCATATATCATAAATTCTACTCCAATTCTCCATTTTTTTCGAACAATTTATACAATAATAAATACATATATAATATAATATTATATATATATATATATATATAATATATATAAATTTATTCCTGTATAAATTCCTCGTAGGTGCTATTAATTTCTCTACTTACAATTAAATTGTTTATATATTATTTATTATATTATTGTTTTAACAAAAAATAGTATATACTATAAGTAATAGTATATACTATTTTTTCGTGTGTATATGTGTGTGTTTTTGTGTGTAAGTATAGTTATATACATATATTGGGCGGATATTCTTCTAAACTTGCAAAATACTTGCAAGTTAATATTTTTTCTATAGTAATTTGCTAAGTTTTTGGCAGATTTTACGTATAAGAACTTGAAATATATATATATATATATATATATATATATATATATTATTAATTATTAATTATGTACGTTTCGACACTGTATGTGTGTCATCTCTCAGCACCTTTAACTATTCTAATTCTTAAAAAAAATATTTTACAAAGTTTAAAACAAATTACATACAAGAATACAAAATAAAAATATTAATACATACCAAAAGTAAGAAAAAAATACAACACACATTTTTTAAACAAAATTCTTCATTAAATTTTTTTAAATAAAAAAACAAACTGATAAAATAAAATAATAAAATTAAAATTAAATAATAAAACTCTGTAGTTAATCACACGACTGACAAATTGTAACAATTTTCAAAAAATTTGAAATATTTTTTTTAGAATTTTTTAAACGTGCTAAGGGATGGCACACATACAGTGTCTAAACATACATAATAAATAATTATTTATTTATTTATATATATATATATATATATATATATAATTTCAAGTCTTGTTTTTAAGATTTTTCATAAAAGAACTGATGAGTATTTGTTCAAAAAATTATTTGTTTAAATTTTGTATTAAGTTGTTTTTTTATACTCATAAGTTCTTTTATAAAATCTATATTTTATTTTAATTATTTATAATTATTTTTGAAAAGTCTAACTTTTCAAAATCAATTCAAGGTAATTTAAAGCATATCATCACAATTATCAGTGCGAAAACATTTTATATATTAAATTTATAATTTATATATATATATATATATATATATATATATATATATATATATAAATTTGAATGTATCAACATATTTTTTAAAATATGTATATTTTTTTAAAGTATTTCTAACTAAAAAATAATTAAAACTAAAATAATTAATATAACTAATTATATAATAATATATAAGTTAAACTAAAATTTGAATTTGTGGCAGGAGGGTTGAAATTCATTCAAAAAATAAAAACACCAGTAATTAGTCCAAAAAAAAATAAAAAAATTAAATAAATTCTTTTAACACGTATAAATAAATTATTACAAATAAACCCAAACAACTACCCTTCCTGGTTTCTCCAGAAATTGCTTTTTGGGTCAAAATATCACCATCCCTGGTACCCCTTTCGTCCTGGTTTCTTGTATCATAGGAATTATCTTGATTATCTTTACTATTATCTTTTATAAAAAGACCATCTTGATTTCTTGAATTTTTTTCGTTCAATAAATATTTCGAATGCACCGGCTGGGAGCGCCAACGAATTTTGAACTCTGGTGAAGTTTTTGTCATTGATTGCACCCTGGGGGAAAAATTAATATAAATTTATTTTGGTACCTAACTATAGTATTTGATAATTTTTGTGGGTAGTGCATTAGTTTAGGAAGGTGTTGTGAAATTTTGGGGTTGATTGTGTGTTTGTTTATATTTTTAAATATTTTTGCAAGTTAGAGTATAAAAATAGACTGTTAGGTTGGTGACGTTGCAAGAAATAAATCAATATTTTGTTATTTTGGTACTTAATTGTAGTTTTTGAAGTTATCAATATTTAGCATACACATTTTTAAATATATAATAAAATTTTTAGTAACTTTGTGTGATTATTTATATTTTTAAATATTTATGCAAATTGGACTTTAAGATCAGACAGTTTACTTCAAAGTAAAAAGTTGCGAAAAATTAAATACTTCTAAATTTTGGTACTTAACTGTAGTTTTTAAAGGTATCAGTATTTAGTATGCACATTTTTGAATGTATAGTAAAACTTCAGTAATTTTGTGCAATTATTTATATTTTTAAATATTTTTGCAAATTTGACTTCTAATTCAGACAATTGTCGTCATAGTAAAAAGTGTTGTTGCAAGAAAAATTCAATATTTTCAAATTTTGGTACTTAACTGTAGTTTTTGGATATGCCAGTATTAAGTATACACATTTTTGAATACATAATAAAATTTTCAGTGATTTTGTGTGATTATTTTTATTTTTAAATAATTTTACTAATTGGTCTTCAAAATCAGACCATTGATGTCAAACTGGAAAATTTCGTTGCAAAAAAATTAAATATTTATAAATTTTGGTACTTGACTGTAGATTTTGTTAACATTAGTTAAAAGTATATATATTTAAGAATGTCATATGAAATTTTTGGTATCTTATTGCGAATATTTATATTTTAGAATAATTTTCCAAACTGAACTTGAAGTAACGCCAAGACGAAAAACTTTTGTTGCAAAACAAATTAAATTTTTTATAGTTTCAGCACTTGACTGTAAACTTTGAAATTACCAATACATAGTACATACATTCTTCACTATATCTAAAAATTTTAGCAACTATTTGAAAATATTTATATTTTAAATTAATTTTGCAAACTAAAAATCATACCTTTAAAATCATGTTTCACGAATATTTGTATTTGAGTCAGTACTGTGCAAACAAAAGGCTCAAAAACTTATTTAATACTTATATATTTTTATTTATTATTATTTTTATCATCTTACCTGATAACAACAGTGTTTAAATTCCAAGGCAAAGAATAAATTTTATGTTTATCCCTGGCACAAAATGTATGCAAAGGTTTGTCCACATTAATTTTTTGATTATTGTCTAAATTTCTTTTGGGTCTCGTTTTTGGAGTTTCAAAATCGATTCTTCTTGTAAAATCATCGACTTTGGTC